GCTACCTGCTCTGAATGAGCTAATATCAACCAATCGTCGATGTGGTGGAGTCGTGAAAGTGTGGGGTGAGAGTGCAAGGCCAAAGGAAGAACTCTGTGTTGGTATGCTTTTGCCCCCAAAAGCAAACCTCAGGAACTTCCTGTGATGAGGAAGGATGGAGACATGTGCATCTTTTAGATAGATAAGATCAATCGTGCCAAAACAGTCCTCGGACTTGATCTGAGACACGACTTGTTTGCTCTTTCATTGTCAGATAAATACTTCATTTTATTCCTCAGAATTAAATGCAATCAAACAACCAGACGAGTAAACACAGTCTGGTGTGATAAGATTCATATCAAAAATCGAAAATGATAGATCTAACTTCTCATAGTCAGATAAATACTTGATTTATTTCCTCAGAATTAAATGCAACCAAACAACCAGACGAGTAAACACGGTCTGGTGTGGTAAGATTCACATCAAAAACTGAAAATGAACCTCAACCTCCTCAGAGGAAGAGAGGTAAACACGTGCTCTTACTCGAGAAATTTTTATCCCAAGAGCCACTGTATATCTAACTTCTCATAGTCAGACAAATACTTCATTTTATTCCTCAGAATCAAATGCAATCAAACAACCAGATGAGTAAACACGGTCTGGTGTGATAAGATTCATTTCAAAAATCGAAAATGATATATCTAACTTCTCATAGTCAGATAAATACCTCATTTAATTCCTCAGAATTAAATGCAACCAAACAACCAAGACTCACATCAAAAATGGAAAATTATGTAATACACGTGTTGCCTCGTCAGCGCGCGAGCCGCTTGGTCACACAAACAATATCAATATCCTCTGAGAAAAATAGCTGCAGCAGCGAGCTCTCACTCAGAGGGGGAAGAAACCGCAGCACGGGCTTCCGAGTCTCGAGAACGAACTCTAGACCTAGGGAATGCGGGTGGAGATAGGAAGAGCCGTCTCCAACCCGTCCACCAGATCACGTGCGATCCCTGCGATCTTAGTCGCCGCCATGCCTCAGCAGCAGCGGGACCGGAATCGCAAGATCACAGGCACGGACACACTCCTCGGAGCGTGCCCGGCGAGAGCGGAGCGCTTAACAGC